TGCTTATCTGCTTACAGATTAGCACAAACATGACGCAAATCCCTATTTTCACAGTCACAATACTAGTGTCCGATATGCGTCGTAATTCAAAGTTCAGTTCTGTCTTTAGCTTGAAAATCACAGAATCAGTTATTACTGCTATTACTACTCTTTGGTAGATAGCTGTGCAGATCTAAAATACTTGTGCCACATTCTGGATTTTAAATTGTTTCTTTTAGGTTTAAGGCATTCTAAAAAAATATGTTTCATTTGAAATTGTTATCTGCCACGGAAACACCTGAAGCCAATAATCTGACACTTTGCTGGATCCCCAGAGAATATATCTCTGTTTGAATCTTATAGGGTAGAAGAGGACACATTCATCACATATCTTCAGGATTACTGTGTGTGCGTGAGCGTACATGTGTGTGTGACAGAAAACACACATCCTGGAATTTATCAAGACATCTGTCCCTTCAGCCATGAGGAGCATTAAAATTAAAACGGCCAGACCAATTCAAGGCATCTGAATTTATGGTTTTTATTTTTTAATTTTAACTGTTAAACAAACTCGAAGAATAAAATCACACTTTCTTTTGACGACAAAATTCATTTTTATGTGTCGGAGCAAACGGCAACACGTCATCTGCTCAAAAAGATACTAAAGTACCGTTGCACAATTCCAACTAAAACAGAATAAAATCAATGTTTTTATTACACATAAAAACTCATCAGCTGGAAACATAAATCACTGCTCAATAATTTACCTCCAAAGAAGGCGTGGCTCATAATTCAGAATTTGTGTCAAAGGTGATATGTATAGCATTACATTTTCATATTTACACAATGTGGTACCATTTTTGTGGCTTTCTTTATTTTAGGTCTCGGTACCCTGTGGAAGTTTCTTACAAGGTAAAAGCAAAGAAATACTTTCATGATTAAGTTCCACAGAAAAAGAAAAATCTAATATATATTTATTAGAACATTACACTCACCCATTTAGACAAAAATACCCCAAACACAGGGAGTTGTTTGCTTTATCCTGTGTTCTTTCCTTTTGATTCAGTGACCTGATTGTTTCACATGGATTGCTATTTATTCACTGTTGGCGGCTGCGATACCCTGAAAATGACAGATGTCAAGAGCTCAGCCGAAGATCTACGCCTGTTTCTGTCTCTCCTATTTCACAAATAAAAAATATTAAGTATTACTGAAAAATATTATTCAGAGCTTAATAGAAGTATTTACCTACGGAAGAGGATTAGGGCCACTGGAAAAAAGAAAAAAAATCTGACTTTAATCTCAGAACTCTGAGAAAAAAGTCAGAATTCCGACTTTAATTGTAGAATTCTGAAATTAAAATCAGATTTTTTTCTTTTTTTCCCTAGTGGCCCTAATCGTCTTCTGTAATTCACCAGCTGTGAATTTTTTTCAATAGTTTTTAGTATATCTGGGGTGGATATTTTATTGGGTCCAGTAAAATCACAATGGCCCCCAAAAAACAGACTGTTCTGCAAAATTGTGACAAGAAGAAAAATAATACATGGTGTTAAAAAAGTACAAGCTAATATCTGAATATGTATTCTGCCCTGTTCACTTTTCATACCTGTAATTTATTCATGGTTTGAAAAACAGTAAACAAAGCAATCAAGTCAATAATAAATTTTGGATTACTTTAAAGCTTGGTTAGATTTTAAAACATCCCAAAGCTCTGAACGTCTCCCAGAGGACAGCTTAATCCACGTTTCCAAAAGGAAGGAGAGGAATGTAACACAACATACAGCACCATGACCGTCCACCTATAACCCATAAAATCCCATTGAAACACAATAAAGATTGAATTTGTAAAACTTTGAACATCAATACTTTTGCAAGACATTGCTCAACACTCACATAAATGTAACATATACTACTACTTTCTTCCTCTACTATCCTCTAAGTTGCATGATTTGCAACTTAGAGGTTGTTTAACTGCTATCTTTATGTTTTAGCTGTGATGCCTGAATGTGACTCACATAATGCTTTCAGAAACAACTAAAGTCAACAACTCAATGGTTTCTCAGTGGTTTCATTAGATAGAAAAACTTATTGAACTAATTTGAATAATGAACTGAACTTAATGCACTGTTTGATAACTAGGATCAGTTTTGATGTATGTGTGACTGAATTGATATGACTTCTTTGGAAAATCCCTTCGAGACGGCATTTGTTGTGAATTGTCACTATATAAGTAAACTGAGTTGACTTGGATCGCATAAACATTCTTGGTGGTGATGAATACTGGCCTTCTGAAGGGATTAGTTATGGGCTGTGTTTAGATTAGGTAGTAGGAAGTAGTGACAACACCTGACGCACTGCTGGCGCACCAGGATCATTAATTAGAGTCATTACACCTCCGGTCCCAAAGGCACACATTTACACACAGTTTTACACACAGGCACTGTGTAACTGCAGCCACAAAGTCAAATACCAACACATGACGAAGTAAATGCACACCTGTTGACACAGCTGGACAGACGGTGAGTGTGTAAAACAGTAACTTCAATTTAAGTGATACAGAGGTAAATTTGTCTTTGTGTATGAATGGAGGAGGTTTTTTAGTGCGGTGAATTTACGGCACATTTGCACTGGAGACCCCTGGACAGGACAACTGACAAACAAACTCACCCTCATACATTGCTGCTGACTAATAGCTGGTGGCTATTCCTGCTTTGCCTCTGACACACGTCTTTCTTCGTTACCCTCAAAAACCGTCCTCTCCTGCTTCACCCAGGTTGCAGAGGAGCAAAAACGTGTTTTAAGTTGCAATGTGAATCACATTTTAAGGTGCTTTCTGAAGATTTCATCACTTTTTTTTTTGTCCTAATCTTCATTACCAACAGCCCGAAAAAAGATATTGTACAAGCTGGAGCCACAATTCAAGATTGCATCAACTTCTTATAAACCAAACTGTCTCCAGGCAACGGAAAACATACACTTTGTGTTGAAATCTAGATGTTTCAGATTATCTAATCTTGTTTATATTCTTTTTCTTTTGCACCAGACCAAAATTGGAAACAATTTTCCATCAGAAGCCTATCTGTTTGAGCTTTTCTGTCTTCAAAAAAGAAAAGAAAATCTAATCAGGTCATTTATTTCTAGACTAGAATTTTTCAGTTTCAAAGTATCAACTAAATTTTAGATTATAAACAAAGCAAGATTATTATTTTTTTTATTTACTTCTATTACATTGTTATTCTAAAAAAAATAATGTTTTCCTGATGCAAAAATGAGAATATTCTACTCAGAAAAGATCAGGGAGTGATCGGTGGATTGTGGGATTACGGGAAGAAAAACAGGCGTCACGTCTGACACGCAGTCTGAAAATCAGCAGCCCTGCTGTCTCCATTCTTTGTTTCTTTTTCCATGTCTTTTGCCTTTAGCGGTGCCTGCTTTTAAATATTTGTTTTCTCTTCCACGGACCCTTCATTTTCACTTAACAAATTGATTTTGATTTCACAAATTGCCATTTAAATGTTTTAATTTACCTCAAAATGTCTATCAGATCTCAATGTCTAAGCGTCAGTGGAGCACTCAGAGGCACAGTGGTTGTTTATTTAAACCAGTGGTGCTCAAAGTCGGTCCTGGAGGGCCGGCATCCTGCATGTTTTAGTTCTCTCCCCGCTTTAACGCACCTGGATCAAATGATGGCTCATTAGAGACCTAAGAAGAACTCTGACATGCTGAAAAGGTTGTTACTACGACCAGGGAGAGAACTAAAACATGCAGGATGCTGGCCCTCAAGGTCCAACTTTGGGCACCACTGGTTTAAAGGGAGAGCCAGAACAATCCAACATGTTCTGGGTGTCCAACCACCTTTATTTACTTAAAGACTCCCCATTAATATTTGCTAGCCATCAACTGGGTTTTTAGTGTATTCTATAAATATATCTCAAGATAATAAGGTATGCACAGACATTTTTCACAGAATATAATATTTTTGCATGAGGCTTTAGTGAGTTTTAGCATAAAAGTCCTCTCACTTTGGTTAAAAGACAATGGGAATTGTAAGAACAAGACAAGAAGAGCAAACAAGTCAGATAAAATCCACGCTGTGCGCTTTGATGCAGCCTCATTTGTCCAAAATGTTGTTACCTTCCTGGTGCCTGAACCTTTTGAAAGTGAAACAGAGCATGAAAACAGGGTGTTTGTTTTTTTTTTTTTTTTTTTTTTTTTTGGTGCTAGTCTTCGACCCACAAAATATATTACTCTCTAATTTTCAAAGAGGAAATTGACACATTTTTCAGGCCCGACACTTTTCTGTTTTCTCATTTGTCTGTCAGTTTTTCAGCTGAGTGAGTTTATTCCTGCCGTTTATGCACTTACCGATCACTTTCATTTGGGTGTCAGTGAGTCGCTATAGGGTGGTGATTTAGTGCTTGGAAACATACCTTCTCTAAGTGGAAATTTACAGATGGAAGGGCTCCTCTGTAATAAGTGGCTACACAGTGAAGACAGACATGGTACTAAATCCCTCCACTGCTCTGTCTCTCAGTCTTTCCATCTTTTTTATTTCCTTCTTTTGCCTGTGTGTGAATACGCTGTTAATCTGTGATGAGTGAAGCTTTTCTGTTAGAGCTTTATTTCTTACCAACTCATCAATTTGATAGAAAACAGTGCTGACCATTTTAAGCCAGATTAGGTCACGTTGAATTTACTCAGTTTTCACACATGAAATCCATTCTGAAATGGACTTGAAAAGATCTCTGCTAGAATATCTGTTATTGTTGGAAAACAGATTTGAACTGGGATTTTTTTTTTTTTTTTACAAGTTTGCTGATACATTTATGATGCTAAGGCCATCCTCCTGGCTTTGATTGGTTGTTTTTGCAGATTCGTTGCTACTGAAGTTGCTATTTTTATTTTTTTTAGCTGCCTAAGAGAAATCAATATTAAGGAAGTTCTGTTTTTCATCTCTAATTTACCATTTAAACCAAGGATGTTGTGTCTAAACTAGGTCCTCTTCTGTTTTGTTGACCCAGATTCTCCTCCATTCTGAATTCCAGTCTTTGTGTGAGAAAGAAAGAGAACACAAGGCAACGTGTGTTTTCTTTCTGGATACAACCCAGAGACAGCTACAACTGTGCCTGATGAGATCTGCACTTGTTTTGCTCGCTGTCAGCGAGCACGGTTGGTGTCATATGTGGTGATCCAGCTAATGCAAAGCTGCAGCAGAATATCAGCACAAGCTTTGTTGAAAAGGTGCCACCGACATCCAGGCTCTGGCAACTGTGATTCAAGAGTTAAGTGGAACAAACCTGAAATTTTTATACAAGTTGAGGTTAGAAATTAAAATTTAATTCACTAAAAAAAATGCAGAAAATCTACAGTATAATTTAAAGACTATTATATTGTATTTTACTGCCTTTGGTGATTTTTGCTAAAGGCTAAGACTGTTTTGTGTTGAACTAAATAAAATTGTTTTTAACAATGTGACATTTTCTAAATGCAGAAATTTAGGACTACAGATATTAATGTTATGTACAGATATTAAAGCAGATTTATTTATTTTTCTGTTAAGTTTTGATCAATAGATGAAAGTTTGACTTAGATACTTGAAACTTTACTTAAAAAAATAATGGAGAGAAATAACTGTGAAAATAAATCCTAATTTCTCATTTAATAATACATTTTCTTACATTAAATAATCCCCTATAACCTTAGATTGTGGTTCTTAATTCTGCTTGGGTTGGCTTACTCACCATTTACAAAATATGATTCATTGCAGCCTTTAAAACAATTAAAGACAGCTGGTGAGTATTAAGTTGTTTGTAGTCTTGAAGTAGAATGAAGTGCTAAGCAGTCCCACTGAAAACATCGGGCTTAAAAGGACCAAAAGTGTAAATGCATTTGAACATGTTGTTCAAATTATTTTTCTACCAGCATTTGTTCAGGTCAAAGCATAATGTTAGGTTTTACTTTTTGTTTGTGACCCTAGTTTTTTGCACAGAACTTCTGAGTGGTTTCATGCAATTTCCTGAAAAAATAAAAAAAATAAAAAAAACATTCCCAGAGTGTGAATATCATTGGATTAGCCTTGGTAGATTGCATGTATTTTGTAATCTGAATAGTACAAAACTACTTTTGCAATATAGTAGGTTGGAGACTCTGAGAGCAAGAGACCAGTTTTGTAGTTTGTAGTAGATTATTTTCAGAATTAAAGAGAAGCAAAGTCTGATTGACAAACATTTTTTTTTTTTTTTGTTCTCAGTTTTTGTTACATTGATTTCAGAAAACAATATTTCTTACGTTTTTATTTGTAAAGTAGCACTGGGTACAAGTAACCAAGGCGAAAAATGGATGCAGAGAATTTATTTAAACATTTCAGCAACTGTTTACTGTGTACATGTGCTAAAAAAAACTATTATTTGGACATTTTTCTTTGTTCCTATACTCTCATGACTTTAGTTTTCCCTCTAGGACTATCAGAACTTCTCTTGTGCAAGATGAGAACTGAACTGCCTGAAAACATTCAGAAAGCAAAGCTGTTCATCTTGTTGCAACAAAACTCAAGTGTTTTGTGTTTCTTTACCCTCAGGGATTCCTCCTCTTCCTAAATACAGCAAGCAGATTTAAAACGCCACAGTATGCGGTAAAGCTTTGTGCATGTGGCTTCTCACAGGTTTGAACACATGTTTTTGCCCTTTTGTATTGTACATCTTCATTGTCCTCCCTGTGGCTGTCTGCACAGTTTTACCTCAGGCTAATGTTTCGTCACGTGAAGCGGTTATATTAGGTGAATTAGCCTGTGGCGCAGATTGCTTTGTCGTAGTAATTCATCACCTGTTTGGCAGAGGTGACTGCATGAAGGACTGAGTGAACAGTTACCAGTGCGACATGGAGACTGAGCATCTGGTAGAGAAGGTTAATTGAGGGCGATTACTGTGATTAATAGCTTTGTTTGAAGTGAAAACACAAGACAGACTAGCTTATGTTACAGAGCAACATTTTGGAGAGAAAAATCCATCAGTGACAAGCGTGCAGGATGGCTGATTGAGGTTAGGGTTAGGGTGTTTGTTTAGCCTCAAAAAATGGGGTCTCAGTTTAATGGTTGTAAAGGAGAAAGAGTGTGTGGATTAAAAAGGAGAAATACTGCTGGGATCTCTGGGTAAAGAGTCATGTTGACATGGAGCATGCTAACAAAAGGATTGTCTGAGGTTTCGAATTGGATGTCTTGATCCGACTATGAGTACTGGCCAATAACGGCCCCTTTGACTCATCGGTAACTTGAGTAGCTGACAGCTCTCTGCTCCCTGTTGTTGTCACACTGTCTGTGGATTTTATATTAGCGGAACAATAAACGCCATCATCTGCTTTTAAATGTTTGGATTGAATGCAACTTGTGTTCCCAACATGTCAAAGTATTAAGAACATTTTCAGAGAAGAAGTTATAGACTGTAAGAAAAAGTACTTAGAAAACAACTGCTTGACAAAGTTAATTACATCTTAGAAATACTAAGATATTACTTAATGCATCAGAACTAACAAAATGAAACATTCAGATTTTTTTAAATCCTACTGTTGAGATCCGTTTTTCTACTTACCATCAGACCTGTATATATTTTCTTCCACAGAGATCTGAAAAATACTGTGCAGCACTATGCATGCACTTTGTAACAATTTAGTCAACACTTCAAAACTGTTTCATATCTCTGAAAAAGCAACAAAGTCAAAGTTCAACAAGTCTGCCTCACTAAGTTTGACATAACATAATACTATGAAGAAACACATTTTACAGAAAAACTCTAAAGAAAGACAATAAGTTCCCAAGAGAGAGTGAAGAGGCAAAATATGTGTGTATAGGGTGATGGAAAACCAACTTATTACAGCGGTGAAAAATATTTGTTTTTACAACTTTCACAAAAAATCGTGGAGGCAAATGATTAGCATGTTATTTGATGAGACTAATTGCTATAGGTTAACGAAGAGCAACATTTGAGATGTGCTTGATGTCACTGCTTCGCCTCATGGGACATTGAAGAGATTGCCCAATGATCTTCTACTGAAAAGCAACCAATGAGCAAGGAGTCAAAGACATATTAAGAGATAACAAATCATAGAAGAGAGCATATCCACATTGTTTTACGTGATCATGCAGAAAAAAGAAATAGAACAATATGGGGACTGCAAACAAGAGCTGCTTTGCATCAGCATCACAAAAACTGCTGCTTTTGAGAATAGAGATAATTGATCATCTGAAGCACTTTGAATTTCTTCCAAGCTACTGAAGCTACTTTAGTATTAGGACATGCTTTGTTAGTAGTGGCCTAAACCAAGTTTTGCTTTCAAAACTGCCTTAATTCTTTGAGCTATAGACTCACTAACATTCAGAAATATTTTTTTTTACAGATTTTGATACAAACTGACATAGCAATATACATTTGCTGCAGATTTGTGGATTTCACATCCATAATACAAATGTTCCACCACAACCCAAATCCAGAGCCATTGGAGTACTTCAGCTCATTATGTTCAAGAAGCTGGTTTTAGACTGTTGGAGGCTTTTGACATGGTGTATTACTGTGCTGGAAATAACTATCAGAAAATGGGCACAGAGTGGTCAGGAAGGGATGACTTTGGTCAGCTACAATGGACAAGAAGACTCCATTGCCATGTTTATAAATCCATTTACTCTTAACATTTGCTGGGCTTTCAGAGATGGCATCTTGGTTGTAACAACTAGTCATAATCCCAGGTTTCTATCATCTTAATCCAGTTAGTCTATATGATATCAACAAGGCATTTTTATCTGCCAAAATGCCACTTCCTGTTTATATTTTTTAATTGGTTCAATTGTGTAAGCCTGAGACATGGCTCAGATCAGAGATTTCTGAAGTACTCCTTACTTTGTTTTTTTTTTTTTTGTTTTCTTTTTGTTTTGCATTTCAGCAATACATCTTTGGACATATATTTTTGGAATACCCAGGGATTTGCTAGTTTTCTTAACAGGTAATTGACACTTAGCCAAATTGATACCTAATAAAACAGTCTACATCGGAGTAATTTTAAAAACATTACACTATAAAAACTTAATAAAAAAATACTAATGGGAATAATCCTAGTTTTGACGGTTTAAGCTTAAAAACAGATTGGCATGAACGCCATCATGCTCCCTGTCTTTGCAACTCCACGTAGGAGCTGACTCTGGAAAAGTGTTTGCAAAAAATGTTTTGGTTCTATTCAGCAGATGTTCTTTACCTCTGAAATATCGTATAAAAAAACACATTAGCACAAAATAAGAAGCAATTCACTCAAGTGGTTTGAGAAGTGGTGGTCTTTTCCTCATTTGCCACATATTTGATCAGCCATAATAACCCCCATTTACCTTGATTACAGCAGTGCTTCTGTTTATAGAATATAAAAAAAAAACTAGTCAAAAAGCCTTTTTGTCTTTCTTTATTGTTCATTGATGTTGTTTTGGAAAGACATTCTAGCTATTTTATTTGCTATTTCATAAAATTGAATCCTAAACCCTAAATAGGTTAAATGGAAGTTTGGTTTTATTGTCCTGCTGCCTAACCTAAACACGTTTGAGTTAAAGGTCATAAACCTCACTATGCCGAGTAGAATTCATCATTCCATTGATTATGGCAAGTTATCTGGGTGTTGAAGCAACAAATTGGCCAAAGACCATCACACTACTACCACAATATTTGATGCCAAGAATTATGATTTTTTTTTTCTTTTATGCTTTATTCTTAAACAAGATGTAACCAGACACAGACCTTTGAGAAAGGTTTTGCCTTTGTCCTCTCAGTCCACAGAATATTTTCAAAAATGTTTGGATCATCAAGATCCAAATCCTCTTGTCTGCTCAGAAGATGATAAAATATTGTTTCCAATATCAACTACTAAAATTAATTAAGTTTATAAATTCAGACCTTATTGTGTTCTGTTTTTGTCTCAGCTCGTGTGCATACACAAGAACAATTGATTAATTACCAGACGTGTATCTTTCTGAATATTTATTTTTTGGTGTATCCATGTGGCAAATCCTATTTTGCTCCTCTTAAAAATGTAATTAAAAAAGTTATCCAGGAATTTAAGATTTATGGTGCCTCACGCTCTCTGCAACTTGTTGTTTCCTATCTAACTTTAGATTGGTATTGGAACAATTCATGAACAATCATTAAACTAAAATTCATCACCCAAGACGTTATGAGCTGAAAGTCAACATTGCTCTGGATATTGGCCAGAAGTTCTAATGTTACTGTTTTTATGTATTAACTCAGACATGCACCAAAGCAAATCAATCACTTAGTCATCTGAATGGAGGAATGTTAGCACTATGGGGATAGTTAAAAAAAAAAAAACTAAACAAAAGTACAACACTCTCTCACTTGCTCTTGCATGCGTACATGCTGTGTGTGCATTTTCTGCTATAAAAATCATCATGTTAGTCAAGAGACCAATTAGCAGTGGTGTAGCTCGTAAGGGTTAGCTGCAAGAGCCCTGGTTACAAGCCTCGCTCTCCAGACGTACCATTTACTGTGCATTCTCTATCGGTCTTCATGTTTCATCCTCTGTCGATTTCAACT